AAAAACCTATCATTTGTAACGCTAAGCCCTCTTCGGATGCCCCTCAGACAAAACAGAGCAAACAGTTGATAAGACTGATGTGAGAGACATTCCTCAGTGGAATCTGCGCCCTGATGAGGGTACGATGTGTGGTCAACACAGCTCTGATACCAAAAAGTCAAGGTTCTTCAGGATTTGCAGCAAAATATGTCGCTGGTACGTGATAACAAAGATGATTAGAAATAATTTAGACAGGAAGGTGGAGAAAACACGTTTCTTTTTATTACCTCCAAATAAAATAAAAAAACAGTAATAAACAACAAGTTGTTAGACTGGTTTGATTATTGTTAATTAAAATGTTTTATTCCTCATTCAGAGATTAAAAACAGTGGCATATTTTAATCAGCTTGTTTGATGGGGGGTTGATATAATTTAGAATCAGAGGAGGGGGATCAGCAGATTGATGCTAAGAAACAACAAAAACATGTTTCAGGGAAAACAAAAATCATTTCATTATGAAAAGACACGGAGTTAGAGCTACTTGGTCACATCTTGTAAATTACGTTAGGCACAGTCTCATGTAAGACTGTTAGATTCWGTGGAATGAGTACTATTTGGAATGATTAGCTCAATGTCTCTAAAAAAAACCAGAAGCCATAAAGCCCATCAGGTCCCTCTTCCTTATTCTGTCTGGAGCGATGACGTCGTGTCACGATAACTTGTTCCCTGCAGACAGCTGCCCTGACAGRACGTGGAGGAAGTGACGAACTCAGGAGCTGCTGGTGGGATGCAGGGATCGCCGGCATCAAGCGGCAGTTCAGTGATGGCAAATGAACATGTCAGAACGTACATCAAGATTATAGGACAGTATTGAATTACACACGGGACACAGAACTACAGAAGAAGTCTTATAAAAACACACTAAGTTTAAAAAGGGAAAAAAAACAGAACACGCATTTAGAGCCTCTTCGTCTTCCTCTTGGCGTACCAAATGGAAATCAGAGTAACATTTATTTATTACTGAAACTAAAAAGAAGACGCGAAACAACAAAATATTGACTTAAATTAGTCAAACACAGGAACTAGATCCAATCAAAATGAGTGAATCTACAGTAGAAGAAATTGTGGTAAAAATTCAAGTTGATGCTATTTTATAAAAGCCAAGAAATTTATTTGAGCCACTTGATATCAATCTTTAGAGCTTTTGCATTTTAAGACATGATTATGTTTTATGGGATCAACTAAAATAAATCTGTTTATCGTGAATTACACCTACAGTAAAAAGTTTTGAATCTGCACACCTTCCTTTTTAGGGTTAATGCACAACGAACAGTAGCACATATTTTTCTGTCTGCGCTGCTCCCAACCCACGCAGAGTGAAGGATTTTGGCATGTAATCAGCCGAAACGGCTAAAACAGCTTCATCAAAAAGCTCTTTAAAATGACGCCCTGATCAAAACACATTTATTAACAGAAGGTGAAGCGTGAAAACAAACTCCTCCGTTTTAATTAATTTTGACATTATTTTGAATTTTCTTCTTTCAGCTGTTCCTTCCTCAGTCAGTCATCCTCCTACTACCTCCATGTCTTCTCTAACTTTATTGGTTGGGCACCTCCTTTGGAGAAAGTAAACTGTTGCTCCCCAATTAGTAGTATTATTTTTAAATAATCTAAATCTGCAATAACAAATGAGCTTTCTTAATGAAGCTTTACTGCAGGACTGTAATACTCAAAATATTTTCATTAGCAATGTTGCCTGTTGCAACAAAATTCGAAACAAACTGCTTAATTTTTTTTAACAGTATCATTTTCAGCTCACTGATTTAGTCCATTTAAACTAAGATATACCAGGTGAAACATAAGACTAYAAACATGACGGCGTTTGCAGAAAAAAATTAAATAAATGAATGACCAGAAAATGGATTGAGTGACAGATGGGTAGGTTGAAGAGATACAGGAAGTGACAGGAGGACGGAGAAAGTAAGAAGAGAAGAGGGTTTGGGGAGGGCGCTCTGGACAAAGAAGTCTGGATTAAGTCATGAGTGGCAAGCGACATACAAGGGTTGGATTTTTAGTGAATGAGATCACATCCCTTTCCCCAAACAGAGAAGGAACTCATCCTCGGGTGGACAGGACAGCCAAGCTGAACTCTGCCACTAACAGTCTGTCTGTCAGTGTGTCTCTCTGTGTGTGTGTGTGTGTGTGTGTGTGTGTGTGTAACAGTGTGTATCCTCAACAAATGGGACATCCATTACTGAACGGAGACAGTGGCATGCAGCTCTGGCCCTGCACACATCAGACTCAACACATGTCAGCAAGCTGCACAATAAAAAGAAAAACTCCAGTGAGTGATTGTGTGGCTTTCATTGATCCTGTTTAAGACTGACTTTACGTTTGTGRCATTTAGTTTCATGATACGTTGCTGTGAAAGAGGAAAAAGCAGATACAAACCAACCTCATAATCAAGGATTTTTATTGAGTTTTACTTTCTAAACATTAACACCAAAGTCACTTTTACATATAGATGGATGTTTGCTGATTGGTTTGGGATTATTTTCTCTGCAGGAGGAATTAATTCTGGTTCATAACAGGTAATGTAAAAATGTTTTTATTGTTTCAGCTTTGCGTTCACACAGAAACAGCATTTTAGGAATACCTAACTTCTGAGACCTAAGCTTTTTTTATGTGCATTTTTTTCTTCCTCCAAGATACATGGAATTAGTCAGACCTAATAAATATAATTACTAGACTCTGTCGTGGTACAGGAAGTGGGTTTGCCCAAAAATAAATAAATAAATAAATAAATAAATAAATAAATAAATAAATAAATAAATGGTGTCCTCATATGAGGACACTGGGTCTCAAAATGTCACATTTGTTGAGGAATACCAAAGCAATTACCATGCAGAACTTGAGAAACTTCATGATTGCCTTTCTAGAGGTACTATTTTCCTATATATTTGGTAATACAGCAGCCAGCTGTTAACTAGAGCAAAATCAGTCATCATCAATGACAACTTTCAGATTACTACTCAGTTTGAAGAACATATTACATGACATTATGGCAAGAAACTGCCGAGCATTTGATCAGAACATCCTTGGTATAATTTAKTGGTCGAAAAACTGCACCACTTGCAAGAACTATTTACGGACGTGAACTCTTCCAAATATTTCCAGATTTGTTTAACAAAATTTGTGACCAAATATACCAATTACAGTAACTACTTTTGTAAACTCTTCTAAATATTCACAGGTTTACCCAACCTCATGGCACAATTAGTAACAAAATTATATTCCCAGTGTCCTCAAATGAGTACTTCATCTTTACTGACATGGTACATTGCTTCAATTGTAATAACGCAGGGTCTCAGGAGTTCCAGAGTGAAAAAAACTGTGAAATGCCACTCGTGTTTTTGAGAAATGCTTTAGAAACATTTTGGCTGGAACAAGAAGTAGTAAAGGCATGTTCATGTTCAGCGCCCTACAAACTGCACTTTATGCCGACAAAGTAGGATCGTAAAATAACATGGTTTAAAATCTCTTTAAATCTGAAAAACCCACCGAAGAGAGTTTGCTTGCTTTTTTGCATTTTATCGATAAAAATCCCACGGATATTCACTCCGATCCAGAGCTCTATCTGGGCTAAGACTGATCACCAAAGGCGTCTCGTCCGAACCACTGTGAGTCAGACAGATTCCAGCAATATCAACTAAAACACTGAATCTGTGCCTGTCTGGTGAGTTAAACTCAAATGTTGTGTGTCCCCTTTGGTTATTTAATCATGCAGTTCTTTGCCTTTACTAAATGATAGCCTACGATGAATGGCGTTAGCGTCGGCGCTAGCCACTGTTAGCCTGGTTGTTTCTTAGCATGTTAGAAATATTAAGAAAGAAATATTAAGCCTATGGTTTGTAGCCGCATGCTGGAAAAACTATATAAATGGCTTATTTTAACTCTCAGTTCTGAGTAAACTCGGAATAATGAACAATCTTCTTCTCAAATACGTGCTAAAATATTTTGTTTACATCACGGCAGGATTAAAAGATGAGGAGCTTAGCGCCCAGGGGCTATAAAAGTGTCTGGTTTGCTTAAATAAAAAATATGCTAACAAAGTTATTAGAGGTAGTTTATTTTTGTTTATCATTTATTTAAAATGACTGAAGCTGTATGAAACCCTCCAGTTCATCTCTAAAAGCTACTAGTGAACTAGCACCTAGTGAATTGTATGTTTAGAATAACCACAATACTTCTATAAAATTATCACAATTCTGGGGGGCTTATGAACATTTTACTTCCAGAAYGGTTGACATTTATGATTTTGCATGTRTGTTTCTTCRGGGAAAGACGAGGTATTGTCAGCAGTAGTAGCAACATYGGGACATAGCTTAACGTCATCTACTCAGTCCGTGAGCAGCAACGGGTGAGCCACGGTTAAAGATTTGTCCTTGCTGCTTTTTAAAACATCCTTACTGTATATATACCTCCAATGTGTGGCCATCTGCGCCAAATTTAAATGAAAAAGGCTTTGATAATCAGCAATGGTGTATCCTCAAAATTGTAAACAACAGCCAAGCGGAAATATAGACCCTGCTTCCGCCATGAATTAGCGAAATACTCTACTTTTGAAAACAATTACTTCAGAATCTGACCTTTGACCCAACGCTGTTCCCTTTTTTATGATTATACTTACATTTTTACACACAGCGAGTAAGTTTTATGTGCTCAACTCCTTGGTTTTTGATGTATTGCAGAATCATTACAGTGCCACATACAGGCCTGGCATAGGTACTGCAACGTCTTATTGGTGTTTTCTTGTGAATGAAAACATTTYCAAAAATGGTACCATGTTTATGAGAGGTCTTACTGATCAACCTTTTTGCATTAAAGATTTCACTGAACTTGGATGAATTGATGATGGTCTGCTGTGGGTTAGATGAACAGAAGATTAATTTTCCTTATTTTAATTATTTGTAATCAGTAATTGGTGCAGCCTAAATGACTCTGTGTGATGATGCTCGTGCTGGAAAGAGGTAAGTGGTAACATTAATCTGAATGCAAATATGAAAACAATAAACTTGACATAGATTTGTGTGAAACATGCTGGAATGTTTTCCTGAAAAAAAAAAAAAGAGTTCAGTGTAGATGTTTTAGTGTTTATAAATCTGATTTCTTGGGGGGAATTCTCTTACAAAGATCAGTGAGAAGGATACAGACTTACTTTTCTTTTAATTTAAGTCTTTCTTCTGTTTTCTTTACATTTTGCACTTTACTTCTGAAATCAAACTTGTAATAAGTGCACTTAGCAGGAACAAGCATGGATCAYATCAGGATAAAACAATAAAGGTGATATAACACCAGAGCGCAAAAGTTCATGTGTGAGACTGATGATGAAACAAATAGAGAAATAACATTTGTAAGTCATTATAGGAATTTTCCTTCCTTCCTCCTTTCTCTTTCTCTCCACCCACCCTCCCTCCACCCCTTTCCAGTCTGGGCTTTCACTTTGGGGGGCCCTCAGCTTCCCTCTCTGCTGATCAGGGAGCTTTCAAGGTACCCTGATGGATGCTAATGCCGGACTCTTTCAGATTGTTTTACAGCCGGGGCCTTTGATCTGCCAGCAGGCCTCTCTCCACGGGCTGCCTGTCCTGAGAAAATGTAAATCCCCGCCTTACAGACACCTGTGAAAAAAATGCAGCAGAAAGGGGGACAGACTCTAAAGAAAAGGGTGAAGAAAAGATACAGTATTGTGACATTTTGGGCGGGGTTGGAGGGGGGTGGGCATAGTTTAGATTGCAGCAGAGTGACAAAGAATGAGATGGAAATTGTGCGGAAATAAGAGTAAGTGGCAAAAAAAAGGGAGAACAGAACTGTAGAGAAAAGAGCGGAGAAACTGAGACATGGCAACCAACAAAGAAGGAAATGAGGAATGGTTACCACAAAATGAGACGGAGGGGACGAGGATGAAGCGGACAGAAAGAAAGGGGACAATTGCAGAAAAAGAGCGAAAGTTAATCTAAGAAGCACAGCATGGAGGACAGGAGGAGAATGGCTGGGGGAGAGAGAGCAATGGAAAAATAGTGGACAAAAAGTTGGTAAATGGAGAGACAGATGGACAATTTGACTTGGGAAGAAAGTAAGAGACAGACTGAAAGCAAGCCCAGGCGGACATATGGGGCCTTCTTTGCAGCTCAAGGGGCGGATGTGGCTGTGCAGCTGAAAATGTAGGAAGGAAGAAGTGAAAAAGAAAGTGTGGTGAAGGGGACAGTCAGCAGAGACCAGTGACAACAGAGAGGTCTTCCTCAGCAGAGGCAGCAGCAGAGGCGGCGCTCTGAATGGTGGGATTGGTGCTGGACAGCTGGATGCAGCTGATCTTTGGACAGATTGTGGAAGAGCGCTTGTCTTCCTGCAGCCAGCTGCTGTGTGCAGAGGCCCACAGTGACAGCACAAGGCTCAGAATTGATGACCAGAGCTGGCATTTCTATGGGGTGAATAGACGCAGGGCAGCGATGTTTTCACTGAAGTCGTGTACAGCAGCAGAGCACAGCTGCCACTCGCTGGAAGCTCCTCAACAAAAAAACAAAAAACAAAAGCGGTGGGGAGAAAAAATTAACAGTATTGAGATCCTCTCATCTTTCTTCTGGTCTTTTTAGCTACAGTATTTGACGTCATTGCTTTTCTTCCCCCAGAGAAAGTGGGAGGAAATGGTTGTCTTCTACAGGAGATAAGCGACACTGAAGAGCACAGTGACGCTACCATCAGCTCCACAGAACCCGCTGTACGGCCTGGCCTAAAACTTCCTCACATGTGGCTTATCCAGTGTGAGGAACATGCACCTGCTAACTCTAATTTGGTTTTCTCTACAGGGAGAGAAAATCCTGTTCATGCTTTTATTGCAATTAGAAAAAAAAAAGTACTTCCTGTTTGGCAAAGCAACATTTCCTGCAGGCCTTCATGGACACGGTCAAAGATAAGTTCCTTCTGATCAACGCTTGTGCTTCCTTTCGTGTCCACATGCCGTCACACATACCCTCYACTGGCCTCCACGCCTCCACCTTCCTGCGGCCCCAACAACACAGGGATGATGTCACCCTCCCTGCAGGTCCGGATGGGAAGAAAACCCAAGCCCAAGGTCCACAGTAGCGGCAGCATCCTCCTGTCCTCATGTCTGTGTCTGTCTGATCAGGGCGCATCCGGTCATCCTGACTCCCCTGCGACTCCCCCAGGCCTCTGTGTTCGGAGGAAGGAAGGAAGGAAGTGTGAAAGGGTGTCTTAGCTGGAGCTGATCCACTTCATTGGAGCCTCTGACTATAGAAGGGCTGTTTGGACAGTGACAAGGCCGAGCACAAGCGTGTGCGTCCTCAGAGCTGTGCACAAAAAAGCACCACAGGAAAGAGAAAGAAAGCTGCTGTTTATTGACGGCTCAATTCAAAAACACTCTTTATATCGTTCTCACTCGCCTGTAAACCTGTTGGGGTGACGTAGCTGGTGTGTGTGTGTGTGTGTGTGTGTGTGTGTGTGTGTGTGTGTGTGTGTGTGTGTGTGTGTG